GCGCGGCGTGGGGTTTACTACCACCAGAGTGCAGCGCCCCGCCCCGCCGCGCTGGGCGCCCCGACTAATCAAGCGTAAAAGGCACCCGGGGCGGGGCCGCGGCGCCGCGCGCTGCACCGGGCTGCACAGAACAAACACATTGTGTTTGTAGACGAGTTTGGAGGGCGCGCTGCTGGACCCCAACAACAGACAGACGGCCTCACGACAGGCGGAGGGACGCGACCTGTCCAGAAGCAGAGGCCGTGAAAGGCTAAAGGCAGCCGAGGGCAATAAGGCAGCCGCCCGTCGAAGCCGCCACCCTCACCCACCCTCCGCCCAACCCAAAGCGACCCATTCGCTCGGCCATCCGTCCGTCCCGAGGTCCGTCCGGCCGCGCGGCGCACACGAGCCTGGCGGCGAGCATGTGGCGGCCGAGGAATGGCCTGGGCCGTGGCCGGGGCCCGCCGCCATGAGACTGACAGGCGCAGCCAGGCGCAGCCCAGGAGCCATATTTCTCCGAGCGCTGTGCCGGGCAGAGCCGGGCAGGGCGGCGGGGGGCAGAGCGTGGCGCCTGCACCCCGTATCGAGCAAGTTATGCCGACCAAGCGCATTCCGTGTAATCAGACCAGGCGAGCACGCTGGATGCACACGCTGCCGCTGCTGCCGCCATTGTGGCCCTGGCCCGGCCCAGCGCGCTGCTGTAGGCCCTCCACCCCAGACATAAACCGGAACAAGGAAATCGCCGCCCGGGAACCCCCTCTACGGCCCTCCAGCCCCGTGTACTCGCAGCGCGTCTGGCCCGGCCCCCTGGCCCGGCTGGTGGCGGCGGGGTCATTGCAAGCCAAGTGTCCGGACGTTACCGTCTCACCATTGCCGTTTCCGTTACTGCCCCGCAAGGCCAATAAAACGCCGGCACAGGCCGGCCCGGCCCCCCAGAGCGCCGGGGCGTGGCGGGGCGTGGCGGGGCGTGGCAGGGCGTGTTGGCGGAACGCCCTAAAGGAACGCCCTCACCGCGCGCACACCACGGCGGTGGCGGGGTCATCGCCGCCCGCTCCGATCATCCCCCTTTTCCCCCTGCAAATTGAGTGCAGCGGGGGCGAGATGGCCGAGGGGGTGGAAGGCGGCAGAGTAGGGGCGCAAACTCGCGGCGAGACTCGCGAGGGGCGTTGCTCGCGCTCGCCTCCCTTTTATTCCGTCTTCATCTGGCCCGCCACGCCACGCTCAAAAAGTTGAGTCTCGGCAGAGAATCGAGTTATATAGCTGAGCTCGACCGGCCCAGGAGGCCACCGCCCCGCCCGGTGCAGTGTATGTGTGCGCAGAGCGGGGACAACCCTCGTGCGTACGTGCGTCTCTGTTTGCGCCCCTTGTTACACAGGGTGCAGCGAGGCGCAGGGGACACTGCACGAAATGCGGATCACTTTGTTAATCGACATAAATAACAACGATAA